TAATGCTATATAAAATAATTATTATTAGTTACCTACTGTTTCCTAAATTCTTTACGTATTATTTTTTTCACTTTTATATGGATTTAAGATGCCAACATTGTGGGTTTCAGATTAATTATCTTAATGTCAACTACATTTTAGCTGTATATATGACTGGTTTTGATTAGCCTACGAAAGAAAAATTGCAAACGAATCTGATTTTTATATAATCATATAGTTTGGGACCTTAACTATATTGTTATTTTCTATATGGTTGTTATCGTTGTATCCTCTTATAACTTTTAGACTGAGTTATTTGAGCGAAATTCTGTTTCAAAAATTTCAAGTTTCGAAATCTTAGATACAGAAAACAGTTATTTTTTTTTTGTCACAACACGTTTCTTCAGTTACCTAAGTAAATACATGATTTGCATATTCGAACCAAACTAATTTACAAAAATCACAAGATTAAATTAGTAGTATATGGTAGTACTTGATAACAATACTCTGAAATGAAATATAAAAAATGTCGAATGAAGGCTGTGTTGTGTTTACTTACTGTTATGTACACCTTTGATTTTAAGTCGAATCAAGTCCTTTCCAATCCTCATCTCTCTCATTCAGGTACTCTATATCAATATCATAAACTACATTTGACCGGGTTTAACCAAAAAAGCAAATACATATGGTTGCATGGAAACGACAATTTTTAAAAATATTGCCTTATTTCTTTCCTTTATAAGCTACAACTATTGATATCTTGTCATAAATAAATTAAATTAATCATATTAATGTTTTTTACAATAAAGAAACTTGTAGGAGTATCAAATTTCTTTTCGTGAAGAAAGAGGAAAGAATAATTGAATACATTTCGTTTTTTTTTTTTAATCGTGAAAACTAAAAAGTTTTTGTTTTCTTTTTGGTATATCATATACCGTATATGGAAGCTCAGAAACCAGAATGGAAGCACGTGTTGGTCCTTAAATTCATCCTTGTCGCAGTGGGGTCCTACCATCGTCCTCGCGTTCCATCTTAATTACGAGTTTGCCACTTCCAAGAAACTTCTAATCCATCTTTTGGAAACGTGTTTTTTCCTCAAACAATTTAAGAGAGACGAGAAACAAGACTAA